GCGTCTATGTGGTCGTCTGGAAGACTTCGTCAGTACTGTCACACATACTGAGATGATCTATAGTGTGGTGCGTCGGACTCTCGTCATACTTGGTTCACAATATCTATGTGACTCTATGTTAGTAGTCGTTCGGAGGGACAGCTCCACCACCCGTCATACTTGTTCACGACGATACTTATGTGATCTATGTGTGGCGGGTGCGTCGGGACTCTCGTCATACTTGTCACACACGTACTTATGGTGATGCCTAGTGTGTCCGGTCGGACTCTCGTCATACTTTGTCACACATACTTTGGGTGTGGGCTATGGTGGTGGTGTGCGGACACTCGGTGCGAGGATGAGCGTGTGTCAACATACTTATGGTGAGTGCTTGGGTGGTCGAGGTGCCGACTCTCGACATACGTGTCGAACAGTACTATGTGATCTTATGGTGTGGTGCGTGCGGACACTCGTCATACTTGTGGCCACACATACTTATGTGGATCTATGTGTGTCGTCGGACGACTCGTCATGACTTGTCACACATACTTATGTGGATCTATGTGTGGGTCGTCGGACACTCGTCATACGTTGTCACACATAACTATGTTGATCTATTATAGTGTCGTCGACACTCGTCGATACTTGTGCACGACATACTTATGATGGATCTGATGGTGTGTCGTCGCGGACACTTCGTGATACATTGTCACACATACTTATGGTGAGTCTAATTGGTGTCGTCGGACTCTCGTCATACTGTAGTCACACCGATACTTATGGTGATCTGATGGTGTGTCGTCGGACACTCGTCATACTTGTCACCGACATACGTATGGTGAGGATTCATACACACTGTTCATACTGCTCACAGGCTGCTGTGTGTATCTAGTGTATTCATACACACTGTTCATACTGCTCTCAAGCTGCTGTGTGTATCTAGTGTATTCATACACACTGTTCATACTGCTCACAGGCTGCTGTTTGTATCTAGTGTATTCATACCCCTCACTGTTTATTCATCATTCAATTAATTCTATATTTTATTCTGTAGATTGTGTACATTACTTTTCACTTTACTGCTTGTTGCACTCCTGGTTAGAAGCTAAACTGCATTTCGTTGTCTCAGTACCCGTAATATGTGCAATAACAATAAATAAAATAAGAATAATGGAGAAGAAAATCGCAAAATAAAATTGTTAATTACTGTTATATTATAATAATATTATTTCTGTTTTCACTCTTAGCAGCTGTTTGTTTTGACAAAAAACACACATTTTACTATACAGTTCCTTTCTTTTTGTAGATATTTCAGATTACCACTGCTTATACTTCAGACATAACCCCAACAGAAGGGAATGGTATTTGGTTTATGTCTCCCAAAAGGATTATACATTTGACAAACTTGTCAAATGTGTCTTTCATTCCGAAAAATCAGTTTAGACCGCACCGCCACTGTGAAGAGTTTTTTATTGAAATGTTTGGCAATCAGGTTTAAATAATAATAATACATTTTATTTGTAAAGCACCTTTCATTGCTAAAAGCAATCTCAAGGTGCTACAGGAGGCATAATAGAAACAAACAAAATAAACACAAGTTTAATCAAAGGCTTTTTTAAAAGAAAGGTTTTTAGGCCTTTCCTGAAGGCGTCCGTGGTCTGTGGAGCCTTCAGGTGGTCTGGGAGGGAATTCCACAGGTGAGGAGCAGCTGCAGAGAAAGCCCGATCCCCCATTGTGCAGAATTGAAATAGAAAGTAGATCGCAGAAAACCGTTAATAATTTAAGTAACAATTGAGTTTTCTCTCAATGGAAACATCCTCCCCTCTGTCAAACCTTGGAGTGACCTAACCTTCACTAGCACTTTTAAATTCGACAAGCAGGTCAGCACCGTAGTCAAATCCTGCTTTTTTAAAATAAGACTATTGGCCAAAAGCAAGTCGTATTTATCTTTTAAAGACCTAGAAAGGGTTATTAATGCCTTTGTTACCTCAAGACTAGACTATTGCAACGCTCTGTATGTGGGTATGGACCAGGCCTCAATTAAACGCCTGCGGCTAGTGCAGAACGCAGCTGCACGTCTTCTGACTGGCCACAAAAACCGTGACCACATCACCCCAATTCGGTTCCGAATTGATTTAAAAATCCTTTTATCTGTTTTCAAAGCCCTAAATGGGCTGGCTCCTGCCTATTTAGCAGAACTCCTCCATCGCTACATCCCAGCCAGAGCTTGAAGATCGGCTGACCAGCTGCTGCTGGTAGTGCCCAAGACCAGGCTCAAAACCAGAGGTCACAGAGCCTTCGCAGCAGCTGGCCCCATGGCTCTGGAACACTCTGCCCCTCCATGGGAGGTCGGCCCAGACCCTAGGGGTTTTTAAATCAACACTAAAGACTCACTTCTTCTCCCTGGCCTTCTATTCAGAGCGGAGAATGACACCTGACTATTCCCTGTGTTTTTGTTTTTTATATTTATGTTGTAAATTATTGTCTTTTATTGTGATTGTAGTAATGTGTCTTTTTACATGTACATGTTTGGCTCGACCAAAAATCGCTTTTAAATGTACTATATAAATAAAACTTGATTTGATTTGAACATGCTACTGTATTAGATCAATGTAAAAACTGAACAACTGACTAAATACAAAGATTGTCCTGAGGGTGGCACAAGAGATTAAGCCATAGTTTCATTTAAATTAAAAGGGTTTGTAACCCTGTGATCATGTACTGTATGCTGTCACTAACTTCCAGAGATATCAGCTCATAGACTTTGAAATATATTGTGTGCCAACATTTGACCTGAGGGTGGCAGAATAAGAAAACCAATGGAGTGTCTAATGGAAAGCATAAAAGTACTCAACAATTACAATGACTTGTGTACAAGGGGATATGGTGGCTCTGAAATAGGGCAAAATGACAATAATATCTTAATATAGGTTAGGCATTATAGGGTTTACCGTTGATGCATTTCCCAATGAGGTTTCTGATTAATAATCATCAGTAATGTAGATATAATGACTAAGTTGGTAAAGGCAAATAATGGAACAGCTATAAGTCTGGTAGAAAAATTACATGTATCACTTAAATGTAATGCAGACATAAAAAAAGTTTAAATTTAGATATTACGATTAACAAAACTTAGGTCTCATATCAAAATAAAGATATAATATTCATATATTGCCGAGCCCTGTGTAAAACATTTTTAGGTGCGCTGACAAAACATGAATATCTAAAGCAAACTTCAGGCTAATGAGACCACTAGTTGTATGACAAAGCAAACCTTTAACTACCTGTCTCTGCTGCTAGCAGAGTAACATGGAGCAAGAGTAACAGAAGTATTCAGTCTACAGTTTGGTAGATATGGTTTGTGCAAACTTCTTTGTTTCACTTTGGCTCTTCAGCTTGGTCTTATTTCTGTTGGGAAAAGGGAATAAACAGAAGAGTGTGTTAGTTACATGTTCCCTTTTCTGGAACAAAATGAATCCTGCATGACAATCCTACAAATATGAATTAATTACAAATATTAGAGGGTATGTTGTTCGTGTCTTCATATTGCCTGACATGCAGTAATTTGGAGATGCGTGAAAATAGCTAATATTGGTCAACATAAAAAAAAATATATCTGATCTCATTTGGAGATGCTAATGAAATGCTGTTATTCATTCTGAACAAAAATAAAGCCAGATGTATTAACTGTGCACTGCAGGGTGTAATAAGAAGACACTGTCGGATGCTTACGTGTTGCCCTCAGCCTCATCGGTTGAATCAGGAAGCTCTTTCCCCCTGGTCTCAGGAAGAAGGAAGCCCAGGGCTCCACTGACCAGTGTCAGGCTGCTGAACACTACGGTGGGTATGGACCAGTGGTACACAGCCAACATGTTGAGCAGTGGAGCCAGCAGGCCACCAACCCTGCTGGCAATGGAGCCCAAACCAGAGGCTGTTTGTCTGAAACACAGTTTTAATAGAATTTGACAGTTTGAGCCATTGAACTAACTGTAATGCCCTTAGTTGCCAGAGAGTTGACAAAAATGGTCTAGAACGCAGGTTTCTAAAGATGTGTCTAAAAATGCAATTTTTGTGTTAAATGTTTGGAATTTTTTTAATATTTACTTTTGTCACAACAGGGCAAAATATTTGTTCATTGTCTGCCTCATGTTCCCTGCTCCCATTGGAGTCAATGAACTCAGACACTACCACTGTTCTCTTAAAGACGCTAGGCAGGGGCGAAACCCATAAGAAAATGTACTCCGTTTGCTAAACCGTCTTTGGTGTTATTCTTGTGAACACACTGGCGAATATACCGATTACTACAGTGAGATGGGAGGCTTACCGAAAAGATGTTGGGAACAGCTCCTGAACATACACATTGCATATGGATCCTGCCCAGTTAATGAAAAAACGTCCTGAAGTTGCTAACGTGGTCATAGCAACAGCATTATCTTTGAAGAGAAAAACACATTGTCAGATAATTAAAACAACTACAATGTTACGAGATGGGTGTTTGATTTTAGAATGAGGCTTCCAATGTTATCGAGAAATCTGGAAAAAGTTATGGTAACTCTAACATCCCTTAAATACACCATCTGGGAACCATGAATATCTGAACGTAACCCTTAAATGAGCATTCACACATAAATATGTTGGGAAATATGAACGCTATTTTTACATTACACCCATATAACACTTTTTGCACCCATATTACACATTAGAACAACCCTATTACACCACTGTTACACCATTATTACACCCATGTCACACCTACTGTATCAGACCCGTATTCAACCCATGTGACATTTAATATTACACACATATTGTTATTATATCCATGTTACAGCAATATCACACCATAATTACACCGGTATTACACCAATGTTACCCCCATATTACACCCATGTAACACAAACATTACACGGTTATTACACCAATATTATAGATTAAAACACTCTTAATACACCTGTATTAAACCTATATTATACCCATGTTACACCCATGTAACACTGTTATTACACCAATATTACAACCATATTACACTGTACTGACACTGTTACAACCTCAATTTTACACATGGACACAGCCTTTCAAATGACTGTATCCCAAAAGGATACAGAAACCATTTAGAGATAATGTTATGGTGCAGTCACTAACTAACCACCATTGCTATCCTTTGCTACAGGCCGCTAGTTAAACTAAACATCATAGGGACAACACCCAAAGGGCTTTACCTTGAGGAACAGCTAGGATTAAGAAGCACAAGAATCCCCCGATCAGAAGAGTTGACATCAGTGACACTTTTCTCCCCAGTGCTTCTAACAGCCATATGCAAAGGATATGAGCTGGGAATTCAGTCAGACCAAATATAAGCTGCGTCAGGAAGATGTCCAAGCCAAGATTTCCAACATTGAATGAAAGGGAGTAGTAAGTAACATTCAAGGAGAACCTGATGATTAAAAAAAAGACGTATTTAGCATGTTGAAAAATAAGTTGTTAAATTCATTATAACCTAAAGTAAAAATCTCAAATGTGTTTTTTTATCAGTCTCTTTTGCATTTACAGGCTTAAAAGAGTTGTTATGTGTATTGTAAAATGAAACTTACCATGCCAATATTATGGTTAAGAAATACTTCCTAAGCACAGATGATTGCATGAGAATAATTATGCCTCCCTTTCTCACAGTTTTGTTCTCAACAATCTGTAATGCACAGGGGATGGAAACAATATCATGCTAACATTTGCTTAGGTTAGCAGATCATAAGAGTTAGATTGGCAAAAGTTAGGAGTTAATAGAGTTACATTTAGATGTCTTTGACTGAGATCAGACATTGTAGAAATATATTTCTGTTATAGTAATTACTTAATAAATAAACACCATGCGTTATTTTTATTAACAGTATGACGGTAGCATTGCATTTACGTTAAGTCTTGATACAATGGTAACAAAAATAACAACTTTTTTTTCTTATTAAGGGACCTTTTCCAGAAGAGACTCTGGAACAGTGCGTTTGTTAATGGCTGCCACTTTGGAAATCAGCTGTTTAGCCTCCTCTGTCCTGCCTCTGTCCAACAACCACCTGGCTGACTCTGGTATAAACCTGTCAGAAACAAGGAAATAGGCATTCTTTAATAATCTGTAATTTCAGGGAAACATCTGATTGTAATATAAAAAGAGTCAATACACACCATATGTAAATAGCAACAACTGCCAGTGGAGCTGCTGTGATTAGCTGAGCCAGTCTCCAGTCTCTGATTAAGTAGATAATACCAGCCAGGAGGCACTGTCCAACTGCTCCAAATAGCTGAGTAATACATGCTCCCCAGGATCTTTTGGACACCCCGATCCACTCAGTGGCTAGACACGGGAAATACATTAGAGTAAGCCTTGAATTTATTACGCCAACATCCATATACGTATGTCCCAAGAACAATGGAGACATTAAAAGGACAAAAATATACACAAAAGTTAAAAGACAGGTTTGATACTGAACATGTGAATAAAATAGCCCAGAAATGGCAATATTATATATGTGAAGAACTCCTCTAAACGTCAAAAATATTTAATTAAATTGAGGTAATAGCTAATAAAGCTAATACATCAAGCCTCAATGTATACTGTATGTAGGAGCCAATTAGCGCTACGGATATAAGTAGGAACCAATGTTGGCTTTTGCTGGAAGGCTAAACTACACACACACACACACACCTATTTAGTCAGCCACCAATTGTGCAAGTTCTACCACTTAAAAAGATGACAGGCCTGTAATTCTCATCCTAGGTATACCTCAACTATGAGAGACAAAATGAAAAGAAAAAAAAAAGAAAAAGAAATCCAGAAAATCACATTGTCCATATTTTAAAGAATTTATTTGCAAATTATGGTAGAAAATAAGTATTTGGTCACCTATAAACAAACAAGATTTCTGGCTCTCACAGACCTGTAACTTCTTTAAGAGCCTCCTCTGTCCTCCACTTGTTAACTGTATTAATGGCACCTGTTTGAACTCGTTATCAGTATAAAAGACACCTGTCCACAACCTCAAACAGTCACACTCTTCTTCTTCTTCTTTCGTGTATCGTCGTCATATGTCCAGCTCAGTGTCACAAAGCCACGCTCTCGTCTCTGGTCCCACATGGAAGAGGCCAGCCTCTGAAGGAGGTCTGTACAGAGGACAGGTGGTGATTATGTCACACTCCAAACTCCACTATGGCCAAGACCAAAGAGCTGTCAAAGGACACCAGAAACAAAATTGTAGACCTGCACCAGGCTGGGAAGACTGAATCTGCAATAGGTAAGCAGCTTGGTGTGAAGAAATCAACTGTGGGAGCAATTATTAGAAAATGGAAGACATACAAGACCACTGATAATCTCCCTCGATCAGGGGCTCCACGCAAGATCTCACCCCGTGGGGTCAAAATGATCACTCGCTAGGGTTAGACAACGGGGGCGTACCTCTACTCTTTTCGGATAAGTGTCGACTGCTACATGTATTTTTCATCTCCCAGTTGAAATGGGAGAACTTGTAACCCTAACAACTTAGTTGAACGAATAGGTCGCCACGGACCCCGCGTCTAGAAGGTCACGGAAAAACTAAACAACCTCCCCTTCGTTCGGTTTTTACATTTAACATCAATGGATCTCATGTCCCGTTTTAGTGGTTTACTGCGTGGAGACTCTGACTGAATCACGAAATGGAAAAAAAGTTAGTCACTCGAACTGTGTTGTAGACCCTCTGAGCCTTTGAGCGGTCTGTCTCCTCGCCGTCCTTTTGCAAGGCTTGTGGTGTCAACCACTTGGGTTGGTGAGGGTCGTTACGCTCGGGGGTGAAGTTTACGGTCGGTTATAGTATGCCTTTAGTCTTCTTCCGACTAGCATAGGGATCAAGAGAGAAAAAGTCTGCCGGCTTTCCTTCCTTCGTCGGTCCCCGACTCGACCTGAAGTTGCTTCTGTCATACAAGACGTTTTATCGTAAGGAGTGGGGAGTCGTCCCAGCCACAACGTACGATCACCCAAGGGGTTCGTCAATCTATGTTGTAAGAGAGAAACCCCCGTGAGATGGGGACCCGACGCCGGTCGACCCATTCCGTATTTTATATCGAGCGTACGGTTGCCATAAAAAGTTGACGCTTCTCTCCAGTGAGTTAAGAACGTCTTCAAGGAGTCTCTGGTGTTGTAGACGATCTTGGCGGGAGGTCTCGGGGGGCGTGTCGGAAATTGGTAGTAACCGTGGCCGTAAACTGCGCGAACCCCTCGCCTGTAACAACCGGACAACTCTCCTTCGTTCCCCCTTTGGCCATTACGACCAAGTATTTGTCAATGCGGTGTTTCATGGGTCTCAAAAAGGTAACTTTAGGTATTTCGTTTTAGTCAACGAAAGACAAACCAGTCAGAAAAGTTCTCCATCCAAAGGGAGTACTTTATAATTAGACTAGCCCTTGGTTGAAGTACAGTGGAGACGGGACTTTGTCAACATAGCTGCACGACCCCAAAAGCCTCGGACTCCTGGTGTGGTATAGATAGGGGTTTGGACGCTACCTAACTGCCTCTAAAGTGGCTTTCAAGTCTACGATGCCTGTCCAAAGAGTTGTTGGTGCACAGTGTCCTGACTCTGGTCGACCGACGGTATGGAGGAGAAACGGAATATTTTTTGCTTCTTATGGGTTCGGAGGTGACCAAAGAGAGGTAAACTTGAAAACATACCTCTGTACTTCATGACTCACTGGAGAGGAGTGACGCAATGCCCTCTAACCCTCCCTTTGTTCCGCTCCCTCCCAAACAATTGTTAACTATAGGATAAGAACAAGTCTACGTCTCTAGTCTACCTCTTTTAGACTCTAGTCGACACGGGTAGAGGTGTACGGTCGACCGTGGTCGTTGTCGTCTTCAGGGGACCATACTAGCTAGCCAGTCAGCCGTTTTCTGGGAAGTTGGGGTCCTGTTTCCGGATCAAGAGGAGGGTTGCACTATTGTCTTCGACAACCGTTTCACCTCTGGCGGCTAAACTCTAGTTCCTTCGTTGAGCCCGGGTATCTGATACTCCATAAGCTGGGGACCCTTCGGTGCGAGGTCAGTCCTCATGATGTATATTTAGAGAACTTTCTCAACCGCGCTGGACTTGTTCTTCGTTCTCACAGAGTAGTCCCTACACGTTCCTCCTTACCTCCTCGTTATGATGAGGTCCCCGCCGTGCCACTCGGACTGGTAGTCGGTGGAGGAAGTCTTCTGTTTGCCGAAGTCCACTCTTGTTAAAACATCCAGGTTCTTAATAAAGTTCATCTTAGGACCCTCTTGTCTATAACAGACTCGGTACTGTAACACCAATCTTTTCCACGAGACCTCTCGCCGCCCAGCTCCCCTCCTCCTAAGGCCTTGCGACGACCGCAGTGACTTTTTCCTCCAGCTAGACTAGCGAACAAGGGACCCCTTAGTAACTCTAAAACTTTCGCTCACCACCGTTGAGGCACCAGGAACACGGGTTCTTCCCACCGCAGAATCCAAAACATAACTAAAATCATGGCACTTGATTAAAAGAAACAGAACTTAAGAATAGGTAGTGGTTCTTAGCTGTGACGACTGCCGAAACCTTTTCGGTTTATGAATTGGTGTAATGTAGAAAGGGTTCCAAATAACCGTCCAAGGGTGACTGACACACCCAGGTCCCTCGACTGTCGGAAATCCTGTGGTAACCCGAAAAAAGGTAAAGTGTCCAGTACGGTAAACGCGAAGTACCACGAGGTCGCTGAAAGGGTCTCCGAATACCTAGTCCATGAAACAACTAACATAGACCAAAAACGGACCGTTCGTATAGACTTCTGTAACAGTATAATGTCGAGGTGGACCTCTCCTGTGTGGACCTTGTAGACGTGTGACAGAACCTAGCGAAGATGAGACGACCGACTGTAGTTCAGGTAGCTTCACGCAGAACGGCGACGTCTCTGCCGTCATGGCACCGGTGTAGTAACCTGCTGCCACAGCTATGCGCGGGCCGGGCCCAGATCGGTTCTAAGTCGGTAGCTCAGTAACACGTACACGGGTTGTTCCTTCGTCGGAGGCTAGAAAAGACCCGTACCGTCCGAAGATGGTGGCGAAACATGGTGTTAAGAGACGGTCCCGTCGAGATGAGTTTCTGGTCTGACCTAGGGTCAGAAGTTTAGTCTATGTCAACCTGTCTCCTCAGAACCGTCGAAAAGTGCTGGTAGGCCTAGTAACTCATTCCTTGGACAAAAGAATGTCAGGGTTTGAAACTACTTGTAAAATAGAACGTTTGCCTACGAAAGACTATCCCCAGACCCGCGACACGAAGAGGTCCCAAGTAGTCTGTTGGCGGTGAGTCACCGGATGTAGTCGGCCTTGACCAAGTGTGTCCCTCCGGTTCCATAAGTGGCACCTTTTTCCTTCGTGACCGATAGTTTACCCGGGACATGAGAGAGCCATATAGTGGAGGACCATCTCTTCAGTGGGACCTTTGACTAGTATTTCTCAAGTTTCACTACCTTCCTATTCTATGGTTCCTTCCTAATGGGCCACCATGGACCGTGACGTTGGTTAAGCGCGAAATTGTAGTCTGTAGAGGTCCGTTCCTTGTTACAGGTCGACTGATGGAGAGAGCGACAAAATCGCACTCAGAACTTTCCCCCCCCCCCTCACGACACTACCGGTGTCGGTGTGTCCCATTTTAGTTGATGTTGAGCGTAGGAGTAGAGTCATCAAAAACGAAGTCACGTCGATGTTATTTGGTGTCGATAGTAAACGAGATTTACAAGGGTACAGGTAAGCCCCCTCCAATCAATGACCAAGTCGTTTCCCTACACGCCGGCTCGGCGAACTCTGAGTATTTATGACGTTCCTCCGGTTACACCCGTCTAACCTGTAGGTTGGACGTAAGGGTACAAACGCTTAAGAACCCCAAAACCAGTCACAGGAACACATAACTAACATGAGAATAATTAGGGAAACCCAAGTGCACCTAAACCGTTCGGTGATATATCCAAGGACCAAAAAGTAATCCTCCAGTCAACAACACACTCAATTGTGGGACAATACCGAAAGAAACTCCTAAAAAGACAACTGGAGCAAAATATCCGGAACACATAATGATACTACAAACAACACTCTATGAACCGATTTTATTTGGGATCAAATAAATTTGATGAGGACACAGGACAACAAATGACGAACCAGGGGACTGTATCGATGGGTGTTTCTGTTGGAAAGAGAAGGTCATTTTAAGTAGAAGAACTCAATGACCAACACGGAAGTGAGTGATCTAACGGTAGTTGGCATGTTTGTTACTTTGAATGTCGTGTTATTGAGAATGTAGTGCATGACCTGTCACCCCGTTTTGCATAGAATCAGTTGGTGGTTTAACCACGCTAAAGAGGTGAATTTTTGTTCCGTCTCTCCGGACATTAAAAGAAGGGATCCTAGTGGAGGGTGTGTGACTCTGTTTTACCTCTTTTTTTTAGGTCTTTTAGTGTAGACTAAAAATTTCTTAAAGAGGACGTTCTAATACCACCTTTGTATTCATAAACCCCAGTTTATTTGTTTTCAAGTGAGTTATGACAAAATATATGGGAGAACAACCGTTACTGTCTCCAGGCTTGCTAAAGACATTCAGAAGGTGTTCCAAATATTGTGTGACGCACGACCATAAAAACCGGGTAAGGAGGTGTACGTCAGAAGGAGATCTTCGTAACTACAAAGAACCGCCGACAGCGACCCGTTGTGCTGAACAGTTTGAGGGAGTTTCTAAAAGATTACCCCAACTCTAGACCTCTGACCGATCCGGTGAGGTCCTGGAACTCTACGAAGAAATGCTCGGTGGAGGAAGCAACGGCCCGCACACAAACCCTAGTCACCAGTACGGACTTTCTGTGTCGGTGCAAAGCAGAAGTACGGAACGACTACCTTCCTTCAACAGTTGAGTTTTGGAGTGCTATGTACCGGGTAATAAGAAAGAAATGTGCCTAGTCAGCAGGACAGGGAAACGTCTTTTGTCGGGGTTCGTTACTAGAAAGGTGGGTACAAAGTGTCATCCATACCACAAGAAACCACGTGAGTCGTAAGAAAGAGGAGGTTTGTGCAGATCAACTCAAAAATGGTTTCATTTAAAAACCAAAGGACTGGTATACTGTAAGAGAGGTTAGGAGACCAGACCTATGTAGATTTACGAGAGATCAGTTTTAAGTCTGCCGGGACTGTACAATGACCGAATTTCGTCCCCCTGTGCGACCGTGAACGTCTGGAACTCAGGGACGCCTCCTCACACAATGACTTACATCGGAAACAATGAAACGGGTCGAGAGACGTCCGAGTAACTGATCCAGGGGGGCACACCAAGGACCCTAAAACGAGNTTTTTTTTACCAAGGCACCCCTGAAAATATTTCTCGACCCCAAGGCACCCCAACTTTTTGTAGATTTAAAAACCACTTCAGAGCTTAAACTAAAAACCATAAATACACCATAAATTGGTTTTCAAATGTGTATTTAATTGAATAGAACATTTTATAGAACAAATAATGTATTCACACATAATAACAAGAACCAGACTAAAAATGTCAACACCATTTCTATGATGAATTCAATATTATAAACAGGCCTACTAAGTAGGCTCTTTTGTTTTGGCTGAAAATAGTAGGCCTACCTGTGTAAAAACACGAATACATATCAATACAGTTATTATTTTACATTTGGATTTCAAAAGAGGCAGGCCTATGATCACTTAGATTAAATAATAACTTAATAGAATTGGAGGGATGAAACAATGCCCTCTGACCTGACTGTGGTCATGTGACTCATCAACCACATCCCAAATATGAAACATTCTGCATTTCGCTATCCAGATAATACTGATTGACAAAATCATAAATCATACATTTATAAGAAAGGCACACAAATGAACATCCAAACATAAACATTTCTCAGACCGTTACATGGTGCTAGTGCGACACTTGTGCCTGCTTTTGCGAGCAGAGTCTCTTGATGCGTGGGGGGATAGTGGACAGCGCAACGCGGAGGTCCTGCTCTGACAGCCGGGTCCGGGTCTTGTTTTTGACATATGCGAGTGAGGAAAACGCCAGCTCGCACAAGTAGGAGGTTAGAAACTGTAAAAGCACCTTGATGGCACTCTCTGAGAGGGATGGATACTCGTGTCCCACAAGCAGCCAAAAATATATCCAGACGTAGTTCCCCGTGCTTCAGTTTCAGGGAGCGGTCCATAGATAGCTCTGCGAGTTCATCCTGAGCTCTACTGTTTAAACTTGTGGCTGATATTAATGTTATTTTAGACTTCTTTTGCACTGCTGTGCCATCATGTTCTGTCATCCCTGCCTGTGTTGTTGAGGGCTGGGGTGCTTCTTTATTTATTGTCACTACGTAACGATCCATCTTGAAATTATTTGGCGAGGATAAAAAGCTTCTCTGCACACCGTAAACAATGACGGCTGACGTAAATCATGAGAATTTAAGCTGTTTAATATTTCTAAATCTGAGCAATATATGTTTTATTAGCTTATGAACTCCATTGTACATGTAATAAAATAAAGTGTATATGAAGTGAAGTTTATTAAATACATAAAAATACGTTTTTTTGCGGCACACTTGGACAGTGCTCGCGGCACCCCAGTGTGCCGCGGCACACCGGTTGGGAACCACTGGCTTAGGGGGTGCTTTGGCAATCCTGAGGGGTGATTCAGCACCCCCTAGCTCCCCCCTGGCGCCGCCCCTGTGGACAATGACTATATTTTTAAAATGCGCTTATCCAGAAAAGCCTGGTTTGGACACGGGCAGAAGAAATATTTCTATTAAAGAAAGAATGCTTTTCTAAAGTATGTTTTGCTTTCTTTGGTTGTAACCTCTTCAGAATTGTTTCCTTTTACATGCCACACAAGTGAGAATGTGACAGGAATCACTTCTCTGAGGAGCTCCAAGAAATAGGGAGTAATATTTCACCGGTTTGTTTATCAATGGATTATGGTGACTTCGGAGAGAGGATAAAAAAACAGCTTCAGTTCCCCGATGGAAAGGGCTGCTGGACAGCAAAGTTAAGTGTCGAAAGTATTCTAAATACAGCATACATTTACACTTTATAGGTTTAGGTATAGTTATTTCTTTAATATGGCAGAAATAATTTGTTCTGATGGCCCTGTCTACAGCACAACTTTGCTTCCATGCTGATACTGTAGCTAATTATCTGTAGTTTATATACGATGAGTATGGATAAGTAACTCATACAAACCTACTTCAACAAATCTGAACTAGTCCTTTAAGCTCAAAGCGGCAGTATTGTATTGTTATGGTAATGCTGCTTCTGTCACAGCTCAATTGAAAAGAAAAAACTTGAGCCACCCAAAGTTTTGTTTATTTGCATGTGTCTCTTATCGTTGTTGTTGAAATATGATACAGTTACCCCAAGGCCTTTTAAAATATTCAGATGAAACTGTATAGGAAACGGCTCACCAAAAGATTGAGAAGTCACATGTAGAAAAAACAAAAACCGTATTATTTAACAAGGGTTTGTTTTATGTCTCTTGTAAAATCAGTTAGATGTTTGCTGAATTTGCATCTCCACTGCATGTTGTTAGCTCTCATGTGAATTGTGTGAGTCATGAAGCAATACCCTCCTGTTTAAAGACTGATAAGACAGCAGCAGGTCGCAACTTATTAGCTGTTTTTGCACAGTGGTTATGTGCAAGCTTGTCAAATACAGTTTTTTTGATGTAAAATGTCCTGTTGTGGACCACCCCCCAGCTGTATTTACATTTACAGATAAGGATATGCAATCCTAAATCAGGGTTTCTAGGGTTCAAGGCAAGTTCGATTAAGGACTTAAAGACTTTTTTTTAATTCCACTCTAACTGAAATGTAGTTTCCTTCATATTAAATTGTTACACAAAATGAGGCATTTTGTATATATATTTTTTAGATGAATATATGTTATCAATTATTTTTAGATTACAAACGTTCTATGTTTTAGCCTTAGACCTTTGAAATTCACCGACTGATTTTCAGCATCTTACAGAAATGAAAGCCGTAAATACCAACAATTGAGTAAGACATTAGCAAACACACAATGTGACTCAGCAAAATTGAAGGCCAAAGAGCATTCACAAGAAATATTGTATATGTAGATCTCACACGACAAAAACATCTTTAAAAAAGATTAACCATATCGGCTAGAGTTTGGTGGAATTTCTGCCGTTTTGTTCGACCACGTTGGAGTCACTGCCCATTTTCTTTGTGCTCATATTCCTAGAAAGTAAAGGAAGACACCATTAAGACAAAGTCAAATATATGTCTTGTTTCAATTAAACTGTAAGATATATTAGGACATTGTAATTTTCTATTACATTGTCGTGTTTTTACGGATAAAGAAAAACAAGATCTAGTCAAATTAAGTTCTAGTGTGGATGGAAGCCACCGGTTGGCCTTGAACTGACTCCCAAGACAATATTGCCACATGAACTCTGTAAATCATGCAACCATCTTACCTGTTGCCCTCGGTCTCATTAGCTGAGTCAGGCAGCTCTGTTCTCCGGGTCTCAGGGAGCAGGAAGACAAGAGCTCCACTGGTCACTGCAAGGCTGCTGAAGACTAAGATGGGTATGGCCCAGTGGTAAATGGCCAACATGTTGAGCAAGGGGGACATCAAGCCTGCTCCTCTATAGGCAATAGAGCCAAAGCCAACAGCAGTTTGCCTGAAAAAGTTCAGTTAACTTTCAAATGTATAATTTCTATAATAACATATTCTGTATATATTTAATTTGCGTACCTGACAGAAGTGGGAAACAACTCCTGAATGTAGATCAAACATACTGAACCTGCCCAGTTCAGAAAGAACTTCCCGGCGGTAACAAGGGCTGTGATAACAATAGAGCAGTCTGAAACAAAAAAAAAGGTTTAAACCCCACAGATGGTCAGATGTATTTCTCATCATGTAGTGAACTTAAAGGACAAGGGATTCACCTCGAGGGAAAGCCAAGGTTAAGAGGCAAAACACCCCTCCTGTCAGGAGGGTTGATATTAAGGATTTTTTTCTCCCAATTAACTCCAAAAACCAGATACAGAGGAGATGTGCGGGCATCTCAGTCATCCCAAACAGGAACTGAACCAGGAAGATGTTCAGACCAAACTTACCCACATTTAAAATTACGCAGAAGTAGCCAAGGTTTAACGAAAACCTTCAAATCACAGGAACACAAACATGTTACAAACCTTTAAGCAATTATTTTATAAAATACATTTCAAATTGTGCTTAACTTACCAGGCAAAAGATAAAATTAACAAATATTTAACCAGGACTGCTGAGGTAAAAATTGCTTTTATTCCCCCACTTTTCATTTCCCGTCCCCCGGTGACCTGAAGGGCAGATGGATTAATATAGTGAAGACAAAACTTTGAGCAGTGATTCTATGAATTAGGCAGCAATTACATTCATTCTGATAAAGGGTTGATATCCCTTCAATAGGCAATATCTCTTTGCCCTGTTACACCCCTTTGTTTACAATCATATTTTAATTATATGGGTAATGTGTACATGTCAATTGACTTTGAACTAGATTTCATTGAACATTAAATATATAAAGGTCACATTTAAAAACAATAATTTGAGTATCTGAAAAGCAATTGGGATTAAACGTTTCTTTTTTTAGTCATTCAAAAAATGAATCGCGGCATGTGTGCATAAAAGGGAATTTGCTCCTCAATGGAGTGCCATCCACAGGTCAAATGTTTTAGCTTTGTCCAATAATTAATTTGATGACCAAGTACCTTGGAAACTTATAACACCCTCATTAGCCTCAGCTTTACTTTGTGTTTAGAGGTTGTTAGCAAATTTTAGCAAGCTAACATGCTAAACTAAAATGGTGGAACTTAGAAAGTATAACAACTTCAAAATCAATGGATTATAATTGTCATCGTCAACATGAGAGCTTGCTGCTGTTAGCCTTAATTTTAAAGCACCACTGTTCCTAGTAAAGCCCCACAGCAGTGCTAGCTTGGCTGTAGACTGTTAAATCGACAGCCATGCTGGCACTGCTTATGAAGTATATATTCACAAAATCCAATCAAATTGTATCTCATAAACCTTGTCCAGCAGGTTATCTGGGATTTTCCTTTTGTTGATTGCTGCGACTCTACGTATCAATTGATTAGCTTCTTCAGTTCTTCCCTGTTCCAGCAACCACCTTGCAGATTCAGGAATCCACCTGAAAAGATCAACCACAATCCAAACGTTGAATTCACTCACTAACGGTTATTCATTTAACAGAACAAACTCAAAATTCGATCTACCAACAAGGTGGATTACACAGTCTTCTTGAACACACTGGTTTTGCAATACACACGGTTTATTTGGTAGGTTTGAACAGAAAGTGGGTTAAAAGGACTTTAGTAGCCTACTACATATCTAATCAGTGTAATAACTACAATAGATGGCGGTGGGCACACCCCCATTTTGGTGAAGCAGACAGGATTTGAAGCACAAGGGATTAGCAATGTAGTGCTGTGCTTGGGGGTCAGCAGCACCTAGTACCTTAAATAAAAGGCCCATGAATATATAATGTTTTACATTTAGCATCAAACAACTATACAATGTCTCTGACAGTGAACTAAAGCCATTATCTATGCTTTTGTTGAATCCGCCAGACTCTTTGGAAAAAAACTGTAATTTTATTTGTGACAAAAATACAAAAAAACAAATGCTATTGTTCTGCAAGCCGCTATTTTTTTTAAATGGAGTCTGGTAGCTTTGAAGACAAAGTGAATACTAAATATAGATAAAAGCCCTTTGGTCTCACGACATGGCAAAGCTAAAGGTTAAAATATTCTCGATATGGCATACACTTAATATAATATAACTTCTCGGAAAAGAGGGTGTGCCGAGTGCTACCCACTGACTATTGATAATTATCTCATACAAACACAATTCAAAACCTCCAAACTTCTCTTAAGTGTCTACATACAGCAATGAGCAAAACATTTAAATAACAAAGTGTAACACATACCATATGTACAACGTTACAAAGGCCTGCGCTCCTCCTATGATGTACTGTGCTTTTCTCCAGTCACGGATGCCATAGACCAGACCAGCCATGACACACTGTCCAAAAGCTGCAAACAACTGGCTCATACAGGAAGCAAAGGACCTTTTGGTGACCCCAATCCACTCTGTAGCTACAAACATAATTTAAACACCAAAATCACTGCAGATCTAGGAATGAAAAGGAACCAGAAAATTGCCTTGTGATTTTGACCATTAATCAAATGTTGGTTGATTAAAAACAAGTCATACCTAATACGGTGGAGTTAATTCTATATCCCCCGAGGGCAGCTCCAACTATGAACTGCGTCACTATGTAGACGTAGACATTTGGAGACACACCAGCAACTATGACGAATATTTGCAAGAGCACGACTGGTAGCTGGGTGGTTCTCCTGCGGCCGTACCTAAAGTTTAGTCAGTGGTTTGAAGGTTTAGGCTTTCATACATTTTGCACATTTCTAATATACCTTTTTCAAGTAACTCACGATTCAGCTGTTGGTCCAAAGATGAATGAACCAGCAAGTAAACCAGACATGAAGATCGCCTGCACAACCTCAGCCATGTACGACTTGTCACAGACGAGATCAAACTGCAAAGCAGCAGAATCAGTAGAGCAGTGGCACCATCAAAGAAACCACACAACATTCTTGACTTACATCAGTGACTACGGTGGCTTCATACAGCGTTCTGGAGTACACCCATCCATTCTGGCACCCTGCGGTCTCATTGAGCCCGTACTCCCTGATGGAACCAATAGACCAGTTCACAGGGACAAACATCTGACACTTGCTGAAGGTCCCATCATCCTCTCGGGGCAGAGTCAGGTTCAGCTGCTCATCTGTTGTCAGGTTAGAGTCCGCCCGAAGGATCCAGTCTGTGTTACAGTGTCTATCTGGATCTGACTCCATAAAAAGAAAACTACAAAAGAAAAGGGGCAAGAAGACATTTGGGAGGGTTAACCCAAGAAGGATGATTTTCTGGAACAAACCAAAGTCGCCAATAGTTCGCAAAATCGCTCCAAAATCAACCATTTTCAAACGAATGATTAAGTGCGACACCAACTCTTAGACACTTTCTTCCAAAAGCTCAAGTCGAAATAAATGTTTAACCTTTGTAACTGAATGTGTGGCGAGCACACAGGACCAAATGGTTGACCTGTTAAAAGCAAAGAACACGCAGAACGAGGCATCACATTGTAATTAACCATTGTCCTCACCAATTGAATTCCATCATGTGACTTTATTCAGCTACTAAAAATCATTTGCTGACATTTTCCAATAATCTATACATGTCAAGGAATCTCTTTTGTATCTTATCACAAATATTCCACTTCAAATTATGCATTTGTCGATGTACACATTGTATAATCAATGATATTTTAAAAATATATGTAATGATCTGTAAAAAAGAAAAAAAAGAACAAATTTGCTTGCCAATTAAGTGATTCAATTGATACTAATCATTTGGTGTCTCCATTTAGAGGCAGAATAATGTTGTTTCTGATAAGTAAACAATAAAAATGGAAAGAAATTATGAATATCTAAGTGACTTTCAGCAAAAGCATTTGATGATCAATCATTTTATCAACAAAATCGCACATATACAGGCACAGGGGGGGAAGAGTGTAGCCTGTGCTGCCCGTCTTATGAAAATTATATTTTATGCATTAGCATCGGACAGGTTTCGGTGAGAAAACTGCATATCAGTACGTCAAAGCACAAAGCGTGTGATTACAAGCTGCATGTAATCCCAAAAATACGCATGTTAACATATCAATAAGGTGCCAATTAAACAAATAATTTGTGCATAAGTGATGCTTTGATAAAGGCCAACAGTGGAAAAACACTACAAAACAAATTCAACTGTGTACTGAACATGAGCAGTCTCAATCCGCCTTAATCTATATTTACAAGTCAAATGTTCCATTTATCTGACAGGTACACTTAAACAGTCAATGCATCTACATGGTATACAAACCTCATGATGTTTGTGTGACAGTACATGGAGTTGCCATCATACGTACATTTACAACATCTTTACATACACCATTTACATCAGTACCTGAACTCAGAGCCATGTCGCAGGCCTTGCACGAGGTACTAAACAACCATACAGCTACACAGGGAGTGACGACAGTGATTTGTGGGTGAAAGTTTATATAGCAAAGAGACTACTGTACTGGCACAACAACTTGCCTAGTGAGAAGGAACACAAACTGAATACTAACTGGCTTCTGGAGAAGTTTAAAGGCTTATTTCACCCAATATAGGAAATATTTACCTCTAGGGGTTTCTCTTAAGATTCCTGCTGCCCATAAATACAATGCAGGTAAATGGAATTGAATTTGTGGTAAGTGTAGCGTCATGCTAGCTGCACTGAAAGGCTCTACTAGCTAATAGCGTGTTAACGTTTTCCAATGGCAATGCTAACATGCTAATGTTTAGCGGGAGTAATGTTCACCATGTTCACAATCTTTGTTTAGCGTGTTAGCATGCCAAAATTAGCTACTTAGCACTAAAAACAAAGCACAGCTGAGGCTAATGTGTATGGTATTAGTTTATTGGTTATAAACCTATTCAAAATGTTTTTATTTTTTGATATTCTGGTGGCGCATCACAAAGAATCACCAGTGACAAACGATTTAGGGATCTTAGCTCATTACAACGGATTATTTAAGCCGCTAGCATGGCTACATTCCATATGCATGAACTGTATGAAATAAGAGGCAGATAAGACCAAATGTATCAGCTAAATACCATTTGAGGCAAGTGTCAAAATATTACTTTTTTTTTTTGCAATCTGGGTAAACTGACCCTTTAAACTATATTTTACTTTGGTTGATAATTTTCAGTTTTTGGGCATGCACCACTCCACAGAAGTTCATCGTATGTCAGCCTGTAACATTAGCAGCTCCAGACTCAACTTTCATTGCCAGCATTCAGGATTCTTCCCAGCTGTTAGATCAGTAATGGTAAATGGACCAAGTGATCCCCATCTGCATGGGGACCTTGACAAACATTACCCACTTCTGTCTGTTGTGCCTGTTAATGTTTCACTTTGCTTGTTATAACGAAAGGAAGTCTCACTGCAGGTTCCTGAAGCTGCCTGCCTGACTTTGAGAACTCCTAGTGCAGTACAAGCACAAAAAGTAAATGTATTCATCTCAAGAGAAGTAATATTAGCAGCCAGTGGTCACATGTGGCGAAAAGAAAACACCTATTGCATAGTAGAAGAATATAAGCCAGGTCTAAATCTGTGAAAAATAATGCTTTCTTTGAACATCTCGGGAAACGCCATCTGAAAAAAGGGTTGTTACTGCAGTTATAATTGACCCTTGTGTGTCTTTGTATGGTTTCAGCTGTGCAGTCAGAGCCTAAACACTTTGGGTATGTTTTGACAAAACCACCACACCACACGCCTGGGGCTGCTTTGTACAGAAATCTGGTAACTTTCTTATATTCTACATAAAAATCCATCTAAATTTACAGAATTACAAAACTAAAACTATGCTACAGTGTGTCTCTAAGTTAGTTTTATCAGTGTTAAAGGAGATTTTCTTAAGATTTCTTGGGTAGGCGTAAATATAATACACCTAATAATCGCAGATACTCAATTTTATTTTCACCAAACACACTGGTAAAATCTATAGTTTGACTAACTAAGGCTGAATATACACTTTTCAATTTCAGTGTATCATAAAGTGCCATATAAAGTAAGCACGACACTCTTGTGAGTGATGTGGCACATTAGATTTAAAAAAGAAAAGGCAATCGCTTCCAGTACTGGCAGGAGATGGTTTGGATTGTGCTTAGGTATGAAGCAAAAGAAAGAAGAAGAAATTAGGAGTTGATATAGTTGATTGCATCTCTTCTCCCATTCACTGTATAAGCGCACTGTAAACGTTTCAAGTGTGATTCCTGTAATGAACTGAGCCCCTTCTCAATGTGGTCCTCATGCATCCTGCAGTAGTGTTGCACTCCTGCCAGCTACCCGACTCCCCATCATCATCGTCTTCCTCGCCCTCTCTTTGGCAGTAGTGGTTTCTTGGAATTTACTACAATGCAGCTGTGCAATACCATTAGTTTCTGTCCTCTGTTGATGGCTGACCTTGACTTAACTGATGCTGAGCTGCGCAAATCCAATGAGTTTAATATCATCGGGAATTTCAGACTCCTCCACGCCAGATGCCTGGAAAACAGGGAACATGATCACAAACTTTTGTATAATCTTTGAACATTTTAATTGACATTAAATCTTGTAAAAAACAATGACGTGTATCTATTACAGTGGCGAGAAAAAGTAAGTGAACAGTTTGGAACAGGTCACGTTAACGGAATCTTTTCCGTCTATGACGGATTTCTTTTAACAAGGACGGAAAAATCTGAAAGCAGTCCGTCATTTTGACAGATTATTACAAACTCAGAACAGCACCAAAGTTTCCCCACAGTGAGGCTCCGGTGTTATGCCGTGTTATGCATGCCCGCCAAAAAGGAAATTATATAGTTTCCAAACCTAAATATGGCGTACAAATCATTGAAATGTAATCTGCTTTACGCTGCGCGCGCTCCCGCGAGGTGCAGTAAGCATGCATAACACGGCATAACACCGGCGCTAACAGTTCACGAGCATAACTGCCCCCTGTTGACAGTTCACGAGCCCAATAATGAAAACCTTTTGATATTCATGTTATCCTCTTCCATCTGTGTACTTACCAGTTTAAACGTCACATTTTTGTTACTAAGCGGATCATCGACAATCTTTTGCAAATTGGCAGCGACTAGACAGGAGATAAAAGAGCAGCAGGTCAGATAACAGGACTTCTTATCATGATCAGTGTGAACAGGAAATAACCGGTTTTAGAAGCACATGCACATTATAAAATCATAAAGCAGCTGTTTTCAGATCAGGATGTGTCAGCATATTTAATATCTCTTCCGAGTAATCTATCACAAAGAACATCATGATCTTTGCATTTGCTGCTATGAAGTAAAAAAACTAAACCAAGAAGACAAAAAGTAAAATCTTTTCAGGAAAAAGTTTCAATTTATCTGATTTGACACTGATGATATCCCATCATGCAGTGCTACAGAGTGGTGCAGTGACGAGTCCTAAAACCCGGAAGTGAGTTAGCATTTTACCACTACGGGTTCCCTCGGTTTAGAGTCAATGGAATTTCTCCATAGAATTTTGGAAAATAGCTGGAATTAAGGTCTGTGGTTGACACAAATCGAAGAGACGGATCACGTTTTGTTCTACGACATTAAATACATCAGCAGTGACCCCACTGTTGATTTCTGAAGAGTTTACGTTTCGGAAAAACGATGGTTGTTAACAAGTGGCTGAATAGGACTACAGAAGTTGTCCAGGCCGTTGTAAATCATTACACCGAACACCTAAACACTCCCGCTAAGTTTGTTTGCCATGTTCTGCTTGAAAGCAAGTACCTGCCTCCTGCAAACAGTTAAAACAAACGCTTCAACTTGTACCATTTTAAAATCTGTATTTTTGCCCTGTTGTAGTTCCTTTATAGCATAACGTTAGTATTTTGCTTCTGGCGATTAGATTTATGATTCGAAAATTATAAAAGTAGGGTAGACGTGGATATTATCCGGCTGAACAAAACGTGCATTTATCAAACAGGTTTGTTTTACACAGACCTTATTTCCAGCTATTTTCCAAAACCCTGTGGAGAAATCCCATTGCTTTTTTGTCGAAGGAATCAGCAGCTTACTTCCTGGTTTTATGACACGTCACTGCAGTGACGCGTCATAAAACCCGGAAGGAAGTTAGCATTTTTAGCACTTCCGGTTCCTTCGTCGAAAAGCAATGCATTTTCTCCATAGGGTTTTGGAAAATAGCTCGAAATAAGGTCTGTGGTTGACACAAATTTAAGAGATAAATCACGTTTTGTTCTACGACATTAAATACATCAGCAGTGACCCCACTGGTGATTTTTGAAGAGTTTACGTGTCTGAAAAACGATGGTTGTTACCGAGTGGCTGAATAGGACTACAGAAATTGTCGAGGCCGTTGTACGTCATTTAGCCGAACACGTACACACTCCAGCTAAGTTTGTTTTCCCCTGTGTTCTGCTTAAAAGCAAGTACCTGCCTATCTTTAGTATCTGTATATCTATATCTGACCATTAGAATCTGTATTTTTGAAATTGTCGTTTGTTAGCAGATTTAGACTTAAACCTTTGTCTCCTGCAACAGAAAGGTGAATAATCTCAGTCGTTCAAGTTTAGCCATTCATCACGGCGTTATTTATTTTAGGCACACATCTCAAGAGGCTTGAGGACAGACAGAGAAGGGGCGTGACTTCCAACGGTCTTATACCCTAGGTAGTGACATCATCAATCATGTGGTACAGCAGCTAACCAATGAACACAGTTAGTAGTCGCAGCTACTTACATAGACAAATGTGGTGCACAGTAATAATA